TGAATCATGAGTGAGAATGAGATTCTTGTTCAACTATATGACTTTCTTAAAACCAGTGGTGCATGGGCCTGTAGGGAAAGTAGGGCATGATTTACTGCTCCTCACTGATGTAGACACACACACTTTGGTTTGACCACCATGCTGTATTTGCTGGCTGCAGAATTAATAGCACGCTGTAGATTATAAAGTGACTGCTCAGCACTTAAGATGTTCCAAAAAGCTCCATCCAGAGTACAAAGGTGTCCATTGATTCTGCACAGACTGGAGAGTAGAATAACTTAAACATCAATGCTTTAAGTATATAAACTTTGACAGATTCAACTTTCTGTGTAACAGAAAGCTGCTCACATAAGTGATTTGAAAGACAAATGTAACTGTTTAGGTTAAAATATTCATCCTGGGATTAAAGATTTTTGGATAAGCAGTGTTATGATTGCTTCAAATGGAATAAAATAAGGAAGGACTAAAATACCCTAAATGAATTAATGGAATAAAGACAGATAAAAGAAGATTTTTCTATTACTTATTTCAGGAAAAAATATAATTGCTGTATTTTAGGATTCTGGGGAAAAAAAAGAACAGAGGTTTGAAGCTGCCATTTCACTGAAAACAAAACAAAGCTTTGTGCAGACCAGCTTACCTTGTATTTTTTACATTCACCAGAATGAAACTTCATCAAATGTTCCCCAAAATATGGTTCACTAAGAAAAATAAATTAAACGTTCAGACTAAAATTTATTAATGTGAGCCACAGAAATGTTGACTATTTCTAATATATGGTTCTCACTTTCAAATAATTACGACTCTACTGGGATATTAGATGATTTATTTAAGTAGAATAACAGGACAACTAATGTAATCATACATTTAAGGTTTTTTACTATACATCAACGTGCTTAGCAGTTGAATGTCTCTGAGGAAACTCTGATTCTGTCAATCTCAAAAAGTGTCACTGGTTTCAGTGGGGCAAGATGTCACTTTTCATGTGAACCCAGAGGAATTAGCTGCAGCTATGGATCACTAGAATGGAGAGGAGTGAGAGGCTGGATGCATGGTTTAGGGAAACAGAGTGAAGGGAAATTTAATTCAGGCCATTATAACCCAAAGATCTGCACATATATTCCCAGGACTTAATTGACAGCTTTAAAATCTCCTTTATGTCCAAAACTGTAACGTTACTAAGACCTTTCTGTTACACCTCAGGAACCTGATTGTGTGTTTTCACACCTGAATTGTCTTGCCAAGATGTTGATTTCCCCCTCTTCCTTCCCTCCCCCCTCTACTGCGGGGAAGACCTGTAAAAATCACATCCGTATTAGAGTATGTTTTTACTGCAGGGTTAATTTGGGTTCTTCTACATTGGAAAACGTGTCAACATAAGTGAGAATAATCAGACTGTGAAACAGTGCTCAAGCTGTGTGTCTACACACCTTCTGTCCTTGTTTGCTTGTGAAAGTAAAATTTCTAGAGGTGTAGCACCAGAAGATGCTTTGCACTCTGAATTTTCTCGTATCTGGAGGCATGGGGAAGGTTGTCTTTTTTCTTTCTAGGCACACCAGAGGGATTGTGGAAAACATTTTGGAACTCAGGCCTTTAAGCAGATCTAGCCTGTACCCACAGTGAGGAATGCTTAGGTTAGCAGCTGGCAAATCCTGCTAACTGTAGTTTTTATCTATACAGCAGAGAATATCAGTTTAATGGACTATGTGTGCAGGTGGAACTCTGATCAGGAGCAATACTTGAATTACAATTTAAATAAAATTCACAAGGCAGACAAGGTTTAATGGGTATGTCTACACAGTACTGTCTAATGCTGCAAAGAAACATATGAATTATTTCAACCATTAAAATGAATATGACTGCATTAATATAGTTCTGATGGTCAGAGAACATTTATATCAGAACTAGAATCCTCATATCTAGAATAGGATATTTAATTTAGACACCGCATTGTGCAATAAGGGCAATCCCTACAAAGAGTAATTAGAAAATGCTTATTTTTTGTGGGGGGAAAATAAATGCTAAGTAATCTTTATTAATAATAAAAAAGTTGGTAAACTGAGAGGATAGATGAACTGGAGAACCTTCCATTATTCTAATCATCATCTCTTAGTGACAGCTGGCCTGCTTCTCTTACTTCCTTGCATCTTGAAAAGTCACTTCCACTTCTGCAAAGAAAGCATAATGTTCTGAAAGGTAGTATTTTACATCCTCTGTGCTCAGCTGAAAATTACTTTATGGGATCTAAGGCAGTGAAGGATTGGACCCAGATGAAAGCACTAATAGTTAAGGCTCATATTTCTACATGACCTGTGATGAAAGACAAGAAGGTGCTGCATCTCCAGAGACTTTGGGGAATGTTCAAGGAGTGACATAATTAATAACTAACTGTTCAATTTGACAAAACTTAATCTCATTTTCTCAGGCTTGCATCCTACAGATTATTTATAAATTAGATTAGTGGTCATAGTAACTATTCCCCTGAGTTTGCAAATTGAAGGGAGCCCAAAATGACTTCTACTTTTCACAGCAGGGTCAATTGAGCACATCATCCTCCTCAGCAGGATAAAATGAATACGGTGCAGCCTACTCAGGGGAAAATAAATTCTGTTCCGCACAATACTAGTAAATGAGCTGGGGAAGACTCTGTAAGTTTAAAGAGGAAAGTAGTGTCCTTTAAATCTACAGCAAAGCCATTGCACCATTTCAGCTTATGCTGAACCTCCTCTGCAGGTGACATGGCCAGTCTGACCACATGGCTGCAACACAGCATCATGCACCTCCAGCCTCTGCACATGGCCTGGGTCCTTTGCACCCTCTGCCTCACCTTTAACAGAGCATCAGCAGCCTCATGGAGCAAAGGGCTTCTCATGTCTCTTCTCAACAGAAAAGGAACAGAGACCTCTGTGCAAGTGGTTGAGATGAGATGTAAATTCTCATTCTGTTTCTATTCTAGGAAACAACAGCTGCATCATAGAGAAGCAAAGTTTCTGGAAGTTCATTTCATTGCCAAAGAGAAAAGGTGCTTGTCTTTACTTCCAGATACATATTCAGTACAGAGTCAGAAAGTTAAGCTGCAGACCAAAATTCAAAGTGAAGATAATACTTTTATCTTTAACAGGCTTGCAGAGGAATTATTTCAGGAAGAACTGAAAATATATATGCCAACAAGAATAAATTTCAAGTTACTCACATAGCTGTGACTTCTGTGACTTGTAGGAGGAAATCATAAAAGCTCCTTTTCACCACCAAATTAACAGTGGACGACTTTTTTTTAATCAGTACAGTATCACAATTTCTCAAACTCTACAATGCAATTTCTTCCTTCAGAAAAGTTCTTCAGAGGTCTTTTACAGGCATTGTATTATAACCAGGCTTCAAAGCCTGATCTGTACTGATTCATGGGACTGTTTAATCTATGATCCACAACACCCTTTGACAGGAGTCTCACAGCTCAACGACACATAATGCAAAGAGCCAAGTCCTTTCATTTATTTCACACCTAAATTGTACCAGCTTAATTTGACCCCTGTCTAAAAGTTTTTTACATTGCAAAACACTGTAAGATGGTTAACATATGGACGTTCTTAATATATTACTTCCAAAATTCAAAATTCAGAATTATTATATTTTATTTATAACAGTGTTAATATATTTATTAATAAAAGACATAATTATTTGACAATTTGTATATACGTACATATATACACATGTAGTAAAACTATATGGTTATGTGAAACACTATACAATGCTCCATACTAGGAGTATACAACACCAAGTTACATAAACAGTCAAAAAATAACATTTGATTTGTCATGATCTCTTTATCAGTTTGGTGGATTGTGTGAGATTTCCCTTTTATTTCCATTAAGTTCATAGAATAAAGGTCTTGAGAATCTAAAATTAGAATGATTGTGGCATATCAGTTTCATTCATTAAATAACTGAAAGCATATGGTTTTAGGAGATTAGGTGAAAAAACTGAAAGAATTCTTATCTACAGTTTAAAACAATCTACTTCGAAGAAATGGATGATCTGCTGGTGACTACTAAGGCTGTGTGATTTATTGATTTATTTTATCGACTTAGCAAGCAGCAGAGCAGACATGATACTTGTGACCCGATGAGAAGAAACTGAGTCTGCACAAGTGGGTCCGAGGCACCTCGCACCTCCGTCTTGCAGAAGGGGAGAGGAACAACCTGTCCCAGCTATTTACTGGGCGAAGATTTTCATACCTGCGATTCTGTAAATCACTGAGGTGGTAAATGCCGCCGCGCACCTAAATTCACGCGCTTTGAGGGGGACGATGGAGCCGGGTCCAGGAAAGCGCTCAGTCCGGGGCCAGCCCGCGCTCCCGGCCGGCACCGCGATGGATGCCGAGTGCCCGCGGCGTGCGCGTCCCCTGCCCGGGACAGCCCACGGGACAGCGGAGGGGAAGGAGGGTCAAGGGATGCCGGGGACAGGTGGAAGCGCAGCCGGAGGCGGGCGGGGAAGGGACGTTACCTGCCGACATCGAGGACGGGAAAGTTGGGCGAAGAGGAGGAGGGCGGTCAGAGCACTCCCTGCCTTTCCCCGCGTCGCCGGCCGCTCGGCCCGGGGTTGCCGGCGGTGCTCCCGCCCCGAGGCGGCGAGGGGCAATGTCCTCCCAGCCGGGGCCGCCCCCGCTCCGGCCCTACCCCTCCTCCGCCCCCCTCGCACCGCCTCCCCCCCCCGCCGGCGGAGGTGAGGCGAGGCGCAGCGCCGACTGCGGCGGCCGTGCGGGAGCGGCGGGGACCGTGCCGGCTGCATCACCGCCCAGCCCGGCGCTGGGGACAGCCATGGGGAGCAGCCGCCGCTCCAGCTGCCGCCGCGAAACTCCCCTCCGGATGTCGGCTGCGGGTGGCCTGGTCTGAGCGGGAGCGGGAGGAGGGAGAGGAGGAAGGGCCGTAGCGGCGGCGGACTGTGCAAGTTGCGCTCTGCCCTTCTTCTCGCCGGCCCGTCTCCCACCCGCGGAGCAGCATGCGGACTGGCCTCCGCGCTCTCTCAGATGTGCTCCGGCTGCCGCCGCCTTCAGTGCGTCCTGCTGCTGGCAGCGCTCACCCGGGCGCTGGATGAGACGGGAGCGGGGAGATCGCTGCTGCGGTTCCGCCCGCTCCTTCATGCGGGCTTCTGCTCCGGCGGAGGTCGCACCGCCGCCGCGGAGGAGCCGGGCTGCGCTCCCGCCCCGCGCCCGCCCGCCCGGGGGGCCCGCATGGCGTGCTACCTGGTCATCAGCTCCCGGCACCTCAGCAACGGGCACTACCGCGGCATCAAAGGCGTCTTCAGGGGACCGCTCTGCAAGAAGGGCGCTCGCTCGCCGGTAACTGCCACCTCCTCGCCCCCTCCCTCACTTGCCCCCCGCACGGTAGGAGCGGTGCGGGCGGATGCCCACGCTGGGGGCGGCCGGCGCGGCTGCGGGGGGCGCGGGGCGTGGGCGCCGGCTCGGTGCCGCTCTGCGGGGCCCCGGTGTGGGCGCTGCCTCGCCGGGCGCCTCGGAAAAGTTTCTCCGTCGGCGGCCGCCTGCGAGTGGCCGCGGGGACGGGGCTGGGGGCGGTGCTGGCTCTCGGCGGGGGGGGGGGGGGGGGGTACGGCTTCGCTGGGGTTATTCGTGGGGTTATCCGCGTCTCGGGCTCGTACCCAGGAGAGGTCAATTTCTGACGCTTTGGTGAGAAGTTGGAGGCGGGTAGAGGGGAAAGCGCCGTGTCGGCTCCAGGTGTCGCGGCGGAGGAGGGAAGCGATCGTTCTCGTGGGTTCGTGTGCCAAAAAATGCACTCGCGAGTTTGTCTAAGGCGCGTTGTGAACTACCTGTCTAGACCGACGTCTAGGTAGGACACGCGGGAAGTTTGGGGCGGTCCTGCGGAGACTGCAGACCCGTTGAGCTACCCTAGACGGTGTCTGTGAGTCGCTCAAGGCGTTTCGTAGGCGAGCGGGAGTCCTGTGCTGCCGGGGCAGCGGTGCCGGGGGCAGCGCGCAGGTGCCCGGGTGCGACCGTGCCCCGCTGCCTCTGCTCCGCCGTGGCTGCGGCACCGGAACCGCCCCCGTGGCCGCCACCGAACTCTCCCTGTGCCCGGTGTCGGTGTGTGACACACGGAGGGGCACGGAGCTGCCATCCGCCGAGCCTGCCCTGCGCGGGTACCAGGGACAGCCTGAGCCCGCCGGTGGGATTCCCCGAGCATCGGCAATGCCAGGTTGTGCCCCACAATACACCTGCACCCTAAATACCTTACGGGAATGGTAAGCAGACCTTACGTCTGCTTTCTCTTTTTTGACTTCCAATGAACAAAAACGACACATATTTCACTATGCTTCCAAAATCCCTTCTGTGTTGTGCACGAGCACTCTGATAGAGCGCCTGCAAGTTCTCCCCGTGTGCTGCTGTGCCTGTCGTGTGCAGTGTAACACAACTGCAGCGCAGGTATCATCGATCAGTCATTGGCTGAGCTGCGTTTGTGGTCTTTGACCCATGGAGCTCATCCACTTTCCACCTCTGTGTGTGGAGCCCCCTGAAATGCAGGCAGCATTTACTGAGATCTCTGTTTGAAATTAGGTCAAATGGAAAAAAGATCTCAAAGATGTAAAATGGGAACAAGCTTGATTGTAAATACTTCTGATTTAGTATAATTCAAACAACTGATATTCAAGTTGAGTAGTATCAGAAGCCTGGGAAGATACTATCCTCTGAATATTATGTTCCAAATCCTTCACTTTCCAATTTCTTTCCCTTTATAACTGCCTAGTGAGTATGCACACACCACTCCTCTCCATCTAAATACTTCATGAAATAAATTTGTCTGACTCCCCTAACAAGTCATCATTTTAAACACAGGTACACTAACAAATAGTCATAGTCCTGCTACTGGGTGGGAGCAATTTTTGTTAATATGTAAGTAACAGAAGGCAAATGAAAATTCATGTTCCTTATTCTGTAAAGGTGTATTTTTTTAAAGGATTTTGTTTTACATTGAACCGTCTTAGTCTTAAGCCAACCATCTAGGGTTTAGTAGAAAAGGGAAAAAGCTATGAAGTTGAAAATTAATCTCAAGTCTCTTTCACTGTATAGAAATGCTCTTTCATGTGATTTTTCCAAAGTTTGAAAAAAGTAGCAAGGAGACTTTGTATTACTTTTCACTAAGACAGAACATCTTGTTTCCTAAATTTGTATCAGCAGGAGTTGCTGTTTTATATATTTTGGGGATATTTCCACAGAAAGGACTGAATTTTAGCAATCTTTAGCTTTCATTCTGAATTCTTGAGGGAAAAATTTATTTCTTTACATATATTTTTTTAAATTTTTTCTTTGTTTTCTTCTGCTTTTTTTTGGGGGGGCAACTCTTTGAAGCTAGTCAGGCTTTTGAGGTCATAGGCTAAGCCCTTTGGAGAGGGAGTGTTGGACAGCTCATGAGTGCATGATAAAGTTTTATTAATTCTGGGTAATTGTAGCTCTGTAACTTTTTCATGTGTTTGATATTTTGAAATTAATATTGGTTTATATAGGCTATTTTCATATTTTGATACAGAAGTTCAGATTTTAGGAGATAAATAAAGGATGCTCAGTTTCACAGAGGGTAATAGTTTGCTATTAAATACTGGCAAAGCAGTGAGTAATCTGCATGTGCCTACAAATTTATACCTTTCCGGACCATATGCCTCTTCCTTATCAGTGTGCATAAAGTTGGTAACAGTGGATAGCAAAAAACACCACCGGGATACATTTTTCATTTTGGGTGTGGGAGTAATACATATTGAGATTTAGTATTGACTGAGGTAGTAAAATTGTTTTAACCATGAAAAAATGCCCCACACAATGCAAACAAACTCTCCAACTATTGAGTTAAACTTGGGACCTCTTCCTTAAGAAGGAAGTCTTAGGCAAGTGGCATTTATTTGTATTCCATGTGCTGTGCTTTTATTCAATCCCTCCTGATTATAACTTTGAAAGATACAAGTTATGTTGTGCAGTCATTTTTAAAATGTTGAATTGGAAGCAGCCTTGAAGATTTGATTTTATCATTTGTAGCATTAAACAGTCTTCTGTTTGTACACTATGAGTGATCTTATGCATGAGTCTATGTAGCCTTTAATGGATAATATGTACCTTTCTCTATTTAAAGTGTTCTGTATTAACAGACCATGAAATGTCAGTAGACTTAAGGCTATGCTTTAAGAAATGAGAACAGTGGTGAATATTTTAAATACCTTTATCAAATTTCATGGTTTTATGAACAAGGATTTTTTCAGTCTTGGTGTTTATGTAGTATTTATTTAGCATACTTTGCTATTATTGTACCAGAAACAATTCTGGTCCTTCTTCCTGGTAAGAGAGACCTTTAGCTGTAGCAGTTTGAATGACAACAAGATATATAGAACTACAAGGATAACACACTTTGGGTATGTAATCAATTTGTTGTGATGTTGTCATCAAATCCTTTAAAAATTTACCCTTGCCTTTGCCCACTTTTACATATTGGAGAAGGGACTAGCTGTGAATATCATGAATTTTGTAGTGATGAATTCAGAAAGAGTGGAATTAGAAGCAGTCACCAGTAAATCCTTTATCAGTGGAGTCTGATGGAGTTACATGGGGAAGGAAATGCTGAGTTTGAACATGAGGCCAACATTACTAAGGATAATGGACAGTAAGCCAATGAAAGAAGCTGCTCATTTTAAAGCACAGCTGATTCTGTGCTTTAAGCTTTTATATTTTATGTGAAAAGTTATATTCAAGAGCATATTATGAGCAAATTTTCTGTCTCTGAAAATTCCTGTTTAAGGAAATTCATTATGATACAGAGATATTACTTACACTTCAGAGTGATGATAGGATATTTGAGTCCTGAATAGATTACACTGATCAGTGTACTGGTTTTACTTTTTGAAGTCAGGATAGATAATGCTGTCACACTTTTACTGCCGTGCTTCACAAGCGTGGCAAAGCTGGCACTGAAAAGGACTTGCCTGCAAAACTTTTAAAGGAACTTCCAGGATGCAGCAGAAAATGGTACTGGGAATTCAGCAGATGGCCCCCTTGCTTCTGAATCATTTCTAAGCCAAGGATGTTATTAGGGTACACTGTTCTTCCTGTGGCTTTTTAAGATAAGATATAAACAAAGTCTCGTTTGCTACTCAGTATTTAAAGATCCCTTTGTATTTTGAAGGAAATAGAAGGCTCAGAAGACCCAGTGCCTTAGCCAATTTCTGACTTGGCTAATTATTTTTCTTCCGTTGTTCCCTGCAGCTTCAGCTGAATACAGTATTTTTCATGTACTTCTCTAAGCTGTTTTGAAATAAAGCTGTCAAGCAGCTGCTCCATTGCAATTGGTGCTTGCCTGAGTTCTTTGGGTTTTGGGGGGCAGGAAAGGCTTTTCTGTTACACAGAGTTACCTTTAAAAAAGCGCAGCTCTCACCCCATGCCCAGAGGCTGCTCCAGCAGTTCTAATTAAGTACATTGCAGGTACTTGGAAATAATGATGCTTTAGTTGATACTGAGCCATAAAGCAAATGTAACCAGGACTGAGTAGCACCTTAGCACTCTCTGAAGCAGACAACAACACAAGGTACTTGGAAACTTTGAAAACGTAAGTGAGCCTGAGGACTGAATGACTGTAAATAGAGAACAGGAGGGACATGGCATGGGCAGCTGTCTCTGCCTGCCTGAGCTCAATGCTAGGAACACAGGCATAACCAAGTCTGCCACAAAGGGACAGTATTGTGTTTGCCACCAGCCAGTGGCAAACACGTGCCAGGCACAGTTGTCAGAAAGCAATTTAAAGGCTAGACATGGTGCATGTGTACCATGTGAAATATGGCTTAGGTGACAGCAGGTTAAAGGAGGAGCCACCAGATACCTGTGTCATTACTGTAAGACCAAACAACTTGTGCATTTCTGACTGCATCCTTTAGCACTGTGACTGCACTCTCAACAGCTCTGAAAGCAGACAGGAAGGATATGCTGCAGCATTACTAGGAAAATGCATGAAAAGTAAAATTTAAGTTAGGAAATAGAGTCTAAAGGGGCTGATAATAAATCAACAACTCTAATAAATAATCCTACAAAAGGAAAGGGGGGAAAAACCCCAACTGCACTAACAACATTATGTGGAAAGTAAAAAAAGGGAGAAATCGTAAAGAAGATGGAAAATTGTACTTTCACTTTTCTGTGCCAAAAGCCTCTGGTAGCTGCCTCCAGCAGCAGTGGCTGCCTGCCAGGGGGGATTCTGTGCACTCTTCTGAAGGCTTGGAGCTGGCTTACAGAGGTATCTGCCTTACACAAACCAGGGGCAGGCACTCCTGCTAACTGTTTCTGATCTCATTGATTCCTGGCACTTTGTGTCCCAGAGTGGGCTGAGTGTGTTTCCTACCCGCCCT